AAATGTGATGGCTTAGAAGAAAGAGTCAGAAAATGATAATTGGATACCATTGTTAAAAAAAAAGAACCTTCAGCCTGTCACTCCATTATCCATGCCCAGATATGTTTCTTTAGAATTTTGATGTTGACATTAGTGCCACCTGCAGGCTTTGTTTAGTTAGTCCCAGAAGCAGATATTCAAAACAGAAGAAAAAGGGGCGGTTAAAAATACTGAGGTGTAGCTCATGTTTGAATCTAAAGGTGCTCCCACATTGTTTCTTACTCTTATGTTGATGTGCAGCGGCTGCGCTGCACATCAACATTCTCAAATGTATCTATTGGCAAATTTGTCTAAAGGATGCGACTGCACTATTCACTTAGCACAGGTGCACCTCTGGGCTGTGTTCTTAGCCCCCTCTTCTACTTACTCTACACCTACTATTTACCCCATCAAACTGTTATGTTCACAGATGACACCACTGTGATGAGTCAACTCAGGCGACATTGAATGCAGATCAGCAGGATGTTTATATAATGATGCCTTGTTCATTTTGGCTGCATATTCCCACAGTAAATCTATTTATTTGGATGGCTTGTAATTTTTTATTTGAAAATGCATCTGCACACAGTAATTGTTTCAGCAAATTCAAAATCTCAGATTATCAGATGCATGTGACTGCCAATCTGGACAGTAGGTGGCAGTAGCAATCTGTAGTAGAGCTGCATTATAAGGCATAACTTCAATGTCAGTGTCAGGCTTTTTACATTGAGGATTTTTCAGTTTCTTCAGATAATCTTAAATATTCCACCATATACCCAGAGCAATCCGTAGCCATTTTGTTGGGCATTGACAGACTTTTGAAAAACATGATTTAAGCAACAAAATGATTAAAAACAACAAAGCACACATGCATAAGTTCAGAGGAATTAACTATTAAAATAAAGTTTTTAGAGTTTGTGGCAACATACAAACTTTAAACAATAAGGGGTCTGGCTTGGAGGAAAAAAACAAAGTTTTTAAAAACAATTATTTCTTTATTTGCCACTGGGGCTGGCCTCTCCTTGGCTCATTCCCAGAAAACATAATCCACTAAAACGAGCTGTATTAGATGAAATTAATCAGTTCGTCTGTTACATACACTTGAATATTTCGTAGCATTCTTTAGTCATTTTCCCAGGTGTCTGTTCCTGTTACTTGCAGTGACAGAAATGACTTAATTAAAAAATGTGTTGACTATAAAAACATAATGTATGAAAAATCTATAGCATAACTATCCATCTAGCTAGAAACTCCTTGTTAAAGCCTATTTCCATATCTACCAGCAGGTGTTGTGCTGCAACTGTGGTCCAAATGAATAATGTTCTTACTCTGTTGGGGGTTTAAAAATACCAACCAGGATAGAGCAGTCATTGTCATCTTTCCCAAGCTCTACAGACAAAAGTAGAAAATGTAAAAGATTTACCTGTTGTACAGCCAACTCAGAATTTTAAACTTCAGACTATCAAAATACATCTGCATTTCCTCTGTTTTTACATTTAATTATAGAAAATCTTAAATCAGAATTGCTACTTTTGTCTGTCTGTGGCCTTTACTGTGGATCCCTCAGTGGAAAACGCATAAATCAGATTGTTTTGGCTCAGAAATGTTTGCTGGCTTGCACTTCATGACGATGTTGGGAACTCTTCGTTTCTGTTTTCCATTTATAAGTCCTGATTGTTGAAAAATATGATCTCATTCAGTAGACATGTGACTAATATTTTCCTTCAATACAAAGACTTATTCACTGTTTCAACTCTGATAGAGTTCAAGGTTGCTGCACCTTCTTTGTACATTGACCTTGTAGAACAGAGGTTTGGAGGAGTTAATGATTAAAATAATGTAATCGTTCATTTCTCTCTATCAACTCTGACAGTGAAGCATGTGTCACATATTGATTTGCTCAACAAGTCAGTAGTACTGAGCAACATTCTTGGCACGGTTTGCTTTTTCTTTTCTGCAGATGTCAGTCCTCTGACACTTTGTGGCTTGCTACATATTGTGAGCAAAATGTAACATTAGATCCTGCATCATGGCAGCCACCTCACTGTTACACACACTTGAGTTGCGCATAAATTTCTACATTTGATCTCAGAACTATGCAGAATGTTTTTGTTTGTTTGTTTTTTGGCTTTTGTGAATGTGCCAAAGAATCATCATGGAAAGATCAAAATGAAAATGGCAAATAACAAGGTGATCAGAAAAAGTACTTTTTAAATCTCTGGAAGCCAAAATGTTGATGAGCAAAATTAAATAAAAAATCTTTAAGAATAATGACTGGGTTTACTTGTTTTCATCCATATATTTAAGTGTTGTGACCCATGATGCAACACATCATTTCCATCCCTTTAGCATGATCCAAGATATTAGAGAAAAACGTTAAGCATTAATGTACAAATAATAGTGAAAATGACGTTGAAAAGTGGACACCCCATTTTCTCTTTCTTTTTTTCTTCTTGCAGAATAAATAAATTTATATATATATGTATATTTGCTGGGTAACTTTGCAGAAGAAAATAAGTAAGTGTGTTTTGTCCCGAGCAGCAACCAGCAATTGACAGAAAAACTTCAACTTCAAGGTGCAGAAAGATGAATTGATTTATTGTGATTCTATTTCAGCTGATATGAAATAGATATTGAATCCAAATGGTAGTTTTGTTAAGAGAGAATGTAAATTACGTTAAACACAATAAAATTATAGCCAGACTTAACCAATTTTTAGACCTTAACCTGGTTCAGAGGCAATGTCCAACAGGATGTTCAGAGGAGAAAAAGAATTTTGGGAATCTACATTGTGAAACAAAAGGGACAGAGATTTTACTATAATGTTATTGCAGATGCATATTTTCTTGCCATGTGGGTTAAAGTGGAGATGAGAAGTAGAGTTTTTGTTGGCATCTTCTTTGTAGAACTAACAAGCTTTCTTAATGTGTCCCGAGGTCAGCGTGTTGGTTATGGACCGGACGATGGAAACTGGAGCCATTACTTTGAAAAACTTTAAAATTGGACCACACCCTGGAATACATGAATATGCAATCACACTAGAGTTGGTTCAAAGCAAAATCAGGCTTTACAAAGGGTGGTGATATCATGATTGAAACAAGACACTCTTAAAAAAAAATCTACAAACTTCTTCCAGAATCTAAACTCCTCAGACTTTAAATGGCCTGTACTTTTAAAGCACTTCACACTACATTCAGTCACTCGTGCACTGATGATGGTAAGCTACTATATTGTAGCCGCATTTCCTATGAGGCAGTCTGACAGAAGTGAGGCTGCCATGCACTGGATGGCAGGTAAAGCCGGTATTCCCTAAAGACACAATGACTGTGAAAGACGGAGCGGGGTTCAAACTGACAATCCACCAGTTGCAGAATAAACTCCTACCTTGTCCAACAAGGAAAATGAAAAGTATTGGTGTTGTGTTTACTACAGGTTGGAGGCCCTCATCCTTCTTTTGCACATCCCACAAAAATGTCATTGTTACCATGGTTTTCCATGTAAATTGAAATGAAAATCTGTTTTCAAAACTGGCACACACACGAGACCACAATCCAACACCAAAAATCGTGCAAACATTTCCCAAACAAATAAAAAAACATCCAGTCCATTACATGATTATGTTTCAGACTTGATGTTTCTGTTTGCAATTCTTCTTCTTATTATTCATCTGAACACATTAAAGGTTAGTTTACTAATTTAAACATTTACTCTACTGATGACCAGTCAGAGTTGGTGTTTATGGCGCCTTATTTCTTATTAACTCATCAAGAAAAAAAACACTAAAATCTCACTCAGAAATAATCAACAATTCAAACACCTTTGAGTAGCAGACACAGGTTATGCAAAGTTATTCTCAAATAGGTGACCCCAACCTGGCCACCTTTATCTTTAAAAAAAAAAAAAAAAACATCAGAAGGAGTGCTAAAGGTAGATTAATGTCTTGTCTCGCTTAAATGACTAGTGCATCATTTCCTTCTTATCATTGCCAAAGTACAAAAATTCATATGATTTCATAACCAAATTCATTCAATTTAATTCTACAAGTTTGTCAACTCAATACTTTAAGATCAAAAGTCTTTTGATAAGCTGCGCTACACAGTCCAGTAGCAATAACGACTGACTGACAACAGCTAAACAAACAAAAGAGAGGGGGTTTTTTTGTTGTTGTTTTTTTATCTGCAAAAGAAATAGAAGTATTGCTGTGTTATTTTGACATCTAGCCAATCAGAAAGTGACGAGCCATGAACACGTTATGACGGAGGGATCGATCCCTCAGGTGAGTTAATTATAACTCAGTTAGTTATTAGTACAAAAGGCTGCCACACATCTTTTATTCACTGATGGCCACTAGATGGCAGCCATTTTTGTGTCAATGAAAAATCCCAGTCTCAAGGTAATGGATGTATAGTTAGAGGAACTAAACTTGGACTTTTCCCACTGAGAAATCTTTACTATAGGAACGTCACTTGGGATGTTGCTTTAGAAGTTGGCCGTACTTGTTTGTTTGTTTTCAATATTTTTAAGCTGACCTGATTCTTTCACAGAACAGCTAGAATTATTCTGAGATGAAACTACACACAGACAATGAACATATTCAGAACTTCTAAGGACCCCTAACCTCTTCCTTTGCTAAGAGGGCTGAGCAGCTTACACTGTAACTTACAGTATACAAAACTTTGAAATATTGTGAAATGAATACTTAATTTTAGTGAACTGTAAAGATTTCATGGACCTGATCAGCTACAACATGACCTCCTTCAGAATAACATCAAATTAATTCTTTCAACATATTTTCAGGACTTCGAATTAATAAAGACTTTTGATTTGACTGAATGCCAAATTTGTGTTTGTATGCTAACAAAAGGCAAACTGAGTTAGTAAGTCCAAAGTCTATCTCCTATAGCCACACCCCTCCACTTTGAGAGGACATCAAGCTTGTTCTGGGTTCAGGTCCAGATGATCTAAACCTGCTCCAGAGCCCAACAGTTTGTCAGATAGTGTATCACTATTTTAAAGCTTTTGCACCTGAAAGGATTTCCCTTCACATCAGGTAAGTTAAATAAAATTTGTAGACATCTTTCAAGTAAAATGAGATGTATTACTTTGTAAAATGTGTTAGAAAAATAGACTTAATTTTATCTATCTTTAAAAATCAACTTTTTTTTCCACCTCCTTCTGAAGTTCTATTTTTTTAAATTTATTTTTCTTTCATTACTCAGGATGTGGTTTCAGTTTAAAATGTTGCTCGCCCTGCTGGCTGTCACTATAATTGGAGTGTTTTTGAAGGAAAGCTATACAGGCTGGTTTGAGTTTAAAATGCCAAACGTGGGTTTTTCAGAAGATAACGTGTCCTTCACACACCATTGAACCCTTTCCGACTCTCTAACGGGTCCTTCCCTTGGATTGGGATTGGAATTTTTTTTTGCTTTTTGCTTTTCTATTTTGTCTTTAGTCGTGGACAAACGACAACTGGTCTAACAACCGGCTGCGTTTGTTCAATCTGACAGCACTTGCAGAGCAACAGACAGAACTTCAGCTACTTTAAGGCAACACTTGACAAACTGTTCAAGATAATCCCACCCAGCCCCGTTCTTGAAAAACCCCAAACTGAGGGATGCAGGACTTGTGCAGTTGTTGGAAATTCGGTGAACTTGAAAGGGTCGCATTACGGACCCTTGATAGATTTCCAAGATGTCGTTATAAGGTAAATACTCGTTTAAAATAAAGTCTTGTTTTGTTTTGTTTTTACCTTTTAAAAATGCACGAAAATAGACAAACCAAAATTCAACGACCCAAAACTTTGTCCTACTGTTTTAGAATCAACCGCGGTCCAACCAAAGGCTTTGAGGAAGACGTGGGGGCGAAAACAACTCATCGTGTCATGTATCCAGAGAGCGGCTCGACTTTAGACAGCTCTACTCATCTCATAATGTTTATTTTCAAGATAAGGGACCTCGAGTGGCTCCTCAGGTCCTTTCCAACAGGAACTTCTAGAAAGTGAGTGATACTTTTGTTAGTCCTTATCTGTTTCAGTGCTCCATGTATTTACATAGAGTCTCAATATAATGCTGTGTGTAAATACAGCCTAATAAATATGAGGCAGTGCCATTTAAACTTTTCTGAAAAAATCAAATATGCATTTTATTTGTCTTCTTTTCATTGGGGAAACAGAAAGCAGAGTGCCTTTTATTTTCTTTATTTTTCAAAACCATTAGAGTAATTCTTCAATTTTATAGAAAATGATTTGTTGTGACTTTACCTGCAAATCCAGCAATGCACAGATTAATGCAGTGGGGAATGTAGAGCCTTTCACACGGGGGCAAGAGAGCAATGAGGGGCCGCCTCGGTGAGGAACGTTAAAATCCCGCCGGATGTAAATGGAGACGGCGAAAACAAAATTGTATTGTATCACTGTTTCTTGGGAGAAAACAAAAGTGAGTTTTAGGTCTAAATTTCCTGTCATTTAATCATTGATCTAATGGATGGGTGGCACCTCCCATGACGGCTGCAGCCTGAGGAAACTCATGTCTTATGCTGTTTGTTTGTCTTTCTTTTGAAGTTAAATCATCCGATGCTTGTCTATAATGACTATAAAGGCATTCTGGTTCGAATATCAACAGGTTAAAATGAAAATAATCCCTTTCATTAACGCGTCAACATCAACAGCCCTGGTTGTTTTGTAATTATGCTATTTGTGTTTTTCATAAATGAAAAACAGTCTGATGATTTCTCTCATCAAGTGCTGTGACTGAACAGTTACTCATTCCCGGCAACGTTGAATTAACGTCATTTTGGAAACGGCTACGTTTTCATTTTACTATAGTAAAAAATATGCTGACACATTGCTGCTTTCACTCGAGTCCAATCATTTGACTCTGTCCGTCTTACTTGTCAAGTTCATTGAACCCGCTATCTCAGGCAGTGTCCTCTAAACAGATACATCCGCTTTACGATATGAAAACACTCGTCTTGATAACGCAAACCAGCTGCCATGTGCTGCACCAGAGATAGCATAGTTAAGACAGAGCACCACTCGCTGTAAGGAAGTGGGGTTTGTTTTTTTTTAAATTAAACTGGATTCCTGGATTATCTTTGCATCTTCACATACTGTGACATTTCAAATGACATAATACAGTTTGACATGCAGTTCTGTAAATATCTGAATTTGATTCACATTGGCCTTAATATAATTGCAGACATGAATTGATGAAATTTCTAAAACCTGATGTAACAGTACACTAGACTTTTGTTTCATATGGAAATATGTTATTTCCTTTATCTGCAGAGGAAATCATGGCCTTCTTCTGCATGTCTTCTTTGTCTCTCTGACTTTGAAACCTTATCATTGTTACTCAGTCCACATAAACAATTGTCTTTATCTTCACTTTCTTTTTAACGTGCTGTTCCTTTAATGCCATCCTTCACCTGTGACCCTGCTGGTTCCTCATAAAATCCTTTCTTCTTCAGTTCTCTTTGTTATCTCAAACTACTGTCAATAATGTTTTTATCTCTGCTTTTTATTGAGTCCCTTTAAGCTTTTTTATATTCCCAGTTGGACAATAAAAATGAGTAACGTGGTTTAACTGCGTTGCTGTGATATTGAAGAGTCTCTGGCGAAACGTCACACCTGACATATAAAGAAGCTCTAACCTTCTTTATATGTGAACTGTTCTGTTTGTGCTTATTGTCAGCACAACCAACTAGGAAGATGTTATTCTTAAAAATCACACAAGAGACCTTTATGGCTAGTGAACAACATCGCCCGTCGCCTTCAGCGCACGTTTAATTCACTGGAAACTTATCAGTACTGTGACTGGGTGTGTGTGGGGGGGGAGGGGGAGGGGCTGCGGGTGTGTGTGTTTAAAAATCACCCAGAGAAAGTCGAGCGGCTCGCTGGCTCCATCCTGCTGGATTGTAGGGGCAGAACAGCGCCGTAGCTAAGTTTTCAGGGACTTACGGTTATATTTCAATTTTATATATTTTTGTGAATTAATATTTAATTTCAAGGCTTTAGAAACTTTAAAAGACTTAAAAGGTTCTACACAACTAAACTACTACTTCAGAGACTAAAAGGTGACTTTACTGTGGAACTGATAGGAAAACTTCAGTTCATCTGAAATTGTTCATTCATAAAACCTCTTGTTGTTATCTGAGTTTGCTCACCCCAACCTTTCTTGTTGGATGAACGTTTCGTTTGGCGAGGCAGACACTAACAATAAAGCAAAGCCTCACCTTTAAAGCAGCACCTTGCTGCTTATGCAATCTAAGTCCAATGTTCATTCTCACAGCATGAGAAAACATTTTATTCATTTATTTTATTTTTTTTATGAAATTGTGTATATGACAATGTGACGCCATTTTGTGGTTGAGATTGCAGCAACGGGGCTGGAATGTTTATGAGTCTTCTCTCAAAACCAAAACCGAGGAAAACGAAAGAGTCGTGTGCAGAAGGAGAGGCAAACTGGCTTGGCTACTAAGAATGCACAACATAAAATACCACCACCCAGCAATCAAGAACAAAAGAAAGAACTGAGAAGTCCAACACAAAGGAGTGAATCCAGTATGGAACACCAGGAGTGACAAAAATACCAGAAATAACCCAAAATGATGCAAATGTGAAGCTATATTGAGAAAGAAAGCAGAAAGATCTCAAACTGACAGAACAAGTGAGAACCATTCCTCATAGAACCTCATCTAGAAGTTCAAACTAATCTCCCTGTTATGGAGGGTGAGGAGTGACAACATTGAATAAATAAATATGCCATGACGTATGCCTGTACATCTTCCATCAATGAAGTTATTTAAATAAATCACAGTTGAAAATAAATAACTTTGCGTTACTTTTTTAATATATTTGGATCTATGTAAGAAGCTTGCTTAGACATTAATATCTCCAACGCAATATAAAACTTTTTTTGAGAAAGAAAGAGACAGAATGAGATTTTGTTTGTACTGTCTGTATTTCTAAAACAAATGCTTTGTGATGTAAATTTTGAATTCCACTTTATAATTTAAGATTGTTTCTCTTTTAGGACTGGAATGCTAAAGTGCCATTCTGTCTTGAAATGAGTTCTTTGATGTATTTAAACTAAACAATGCTGTTTTTTCCCCACATCATACAGGCCAGTAAAATCCAGAGCGAACAAAAATTTGGTGAGTATGTTTTGTTTTGTTTTTGTTATTTGTCGTTGCTTCATGAGCATTTTCTTATTGATCGTCACATTTTTGTAAGTTGTGTAACTTCCGCCGTAGGTGATGGTGCTGAATCCAGCTTTTATGAAGTATGTTCATCAGAAGTGGCTGGGGAAGAAAGGAAAGTACCCGTCCACCGGCTTTATGACCTTGATTTCCGCACTTCACATTTGTGATGAGGTACGTTTTTCCTTTGTTCAACTTGGCAGAATTGTAAGTTTGTTTTTTGAGAATCTTCTCCCAAACTTTTCAAATCTGTCTTGCATTAGAAAATTCCCCTTATGGTTAAGAATAAAAAAATTAAAAAAAAAGATAGATCTAGTTCATGTTTTCAATTTTTAGAATAATTTTTGTCACTTTGCACACCGAGAGTGATTTCTTTCCCTCCTATTTGTCTTTGTAACATATCTATATTTTCAAGTTTTACTTGGCTTTGGCTTTGGCCAGCACCTGCCCATCAGGTCAGTCTACACCATGTGTATAAAACATTCTTGGCCTCTTTTTTCTCCCAGGTCCATGCGTTTGGTTTTGGAGCTGACAGCAACGGAAGCTGGAGCCATTACTGGCAACCGATGAAAGGCAAAAGGTTTAAAACTGGACCTCATCCCGGAAAACTGGAGTATGCAGCGATGGACAGGCTGGCTGATGAAAACACAATCTACTTTTATAAAGGAAATTGATTATTTCCAGAGACGTGAAGCTTAGTTGCTTTTTTTTTCTTTTTGAAGTTTTAGTCATCTCCCAAAAAGTTAGAAAAAAAAGAAGCAATGAATAAACTGAAACTGAAACTTAGACCTGAAAGCTCAGACTTTCAGGTCTAAGTTTCAGCTTTAAAGGAAAATATAATACAACCACTTTACAACTGATAAGAAAGTGGCAATGATCTAAACACACAACTTTATCGGCATAATTTGCATGCCAGGTTACGTGCATTGTTATTATTATTATTATTTTTTTTTTTTATTATTATTATTTTTCACATCAGCTAGCCTGTGACTACTAATGCTTGTCCTGAAATAACAATTGTACTTGCACAAGTGTAGGATTTATTCTTATTTTTTACTGGAGTGGATATGTCTTCTGTCTCTTGACACTTTCTATTTATTATTTATCAAGTCATTGTGGGATATGAAATGTAAACTTTTTAAAATGGGATATTTATAATTTTTTTTGTATTTTCAGGGGGGGTTTTTATGTTAAGCTGGAAGTGGACATATCATACTTTTAAATTCCTCCTTTTCACACTTAAACCGTTCACTTGTGGTCTGTTTGAAGTAGAACTGCAATGCTTTGGTCTGAATTCCTGGTTGTCGTATCTCCACAGACCTCTCCTTTACCACTGAAGCAAGTTGTAGAGCAACTCATATAAGAGCAACTTGTACTCGAGCAACTCGTTTTGGAGCAATTTGTTTTGGAGCAACTTGTTTTGGAGCAACTTGTTTTGGAGCAACTCGTTTTGGAGAAATTCTTTGTGATTTGTGGTCCAAGATCAGCAAAACTGAGCTTGGACCACGAAATCACTGCGAGGGAAAATGGCGGGTAAGCCAGAAGTCGTGACCTTGTTTTGCAGTTCCACAGCAAATGCAGTGACAACACAAACAAGAAACCATAACAACAAATACAGGAAAATGAACAGAATAAAAAATATAACCCAAAAAGAATTTGAAAATATCCAAGCAGCGACGGGAGAGAATGAATTCAAAAATGTTGCACCCCTAAACAGAGGACCCAATAAAACATATTTAAGGGGGAACAAAGTGGGTTTTGCATGATATGTCCACTTTAAGACTAAATGGTGATGCTGCTGTTAAATGGTTTACAACTGATAATAAACTGGTACTAAACTGGTGTGCTTTGGAGTATTATCCAGCTACATGATCCAAGAGTTCTTAAAGCTGCAGCATGCAGCTTTCACAAACATGTTGTTTCACATTCATTAAAACATTTGTGACTGAATGGCATGAGACAGATCGTCTGTGGGGAGGAAAAACATTCCAGCACCTCCTAATTCGACTTCTGCCGTCTGAAGAAATGCATGGCTCCCGGTCAAAAACAGCCAATCGGAGCCAGGAGGCGGGTCTTAAAGTGTTCAGCCATCCTCCTGTATGCTGCTCAGTGTGTTGATGGTGGAAAAATGTCTCACAGTTAAAGGGAAACCATAACTTGCCTTAGCCTTTGTGGAAAGCTATATAGTGGTGAGCCAACTGTAGCTTAGCAAAGGGCGAGAGGGAAGGCATGAGCACGAGAGTGATTGATAGCGCTAAAACCCTCCTTCTGCCTCTGATTGGTTGTTTCTGACTGAGTGCTTCAGTTAGTACTTTTTTTCACAGATTATATCATACTGTCTTTTTCTGAATCATGAATGCTGATCTTAAAGGCCCTGGGTTCTTCTGTAACCTCCTGAATGATTTGTTGATGTGCTCTTGGATTACTTTTGGCAGGCTAACCTCTCCTGAGAAGTGGTCAGCCTTCACTATTCCATGTTTCTTCATTTGTGGATAGTGGAGTCTCTGATGCAGCATGTTGACTTCATCTAGTGAGATGTCTTACACTTCAAGAAGCTCCAGCATACGTCCCTTCCAAAGCAACCGAGCCTGGATGTAACTAATAAAACCCAACCCAGCATTCTGAGAAACAATGCATTTTATTACAGGTCATTCATTGTTTCACAAGCCTGAAATTACTTCTTCACAGACAATCAGGTGAGGAAAAACACTGACTTTCTTTACATCATGCATCGACCCTTTCAACAAATTAGAATGTTATTGAAAAGTCAGATAATTCAGGAACTTTCACCAATAAATTACACACAGAGGGATATTTGACAGCCTTTATTTTTGTTAGTTAGGATTTTTTTTTTCTTCTTCATTCCAGCTCTTTGAGCTGGAATAGGGACGGATTAATGTAGCAAACGTGAACAAACTCAAGAAAAGTGCAGCCAATACATGCAGCTCAGGTAACATTTGCTAAAATATTTCACGACGTGACTTTGTTTCTTCCTTTGCTGGTACATGCAACTATAGATATTAAAGCTGCAAACTTGAATATCCACAAAGCCTTCTTACGTACGATCCCGCAGCATCTTTCTTCAAAGTGAAGTGTCCTGCAGTTCTGTCCGGTTGCTCTCGGCATGTGATTTTATCTTTCTATGGAGTCTTACTAAGAGCCTTGAGAGTTGCGCTTTAGTTTAGACTCTTATTTTGAAGGAAGAAAGAAAGCAGCTCAGAAACATTTGCAGTAACTGTTAGATCAATAACTACTGTTGTTAAATATCATTGTAACTGACAACAGCTTCATTCTAGATCAGCAGGTCACGCAGCATTTCTGGCTGTTTGAATTGACCTTTTGTGAAGTTACACTGGTTGACCACAAGATGGGGTGACACACTAAAATCATGACCCTGTGACACAGCTGGCTGTTCAGACCCATCCATTAAAAATTTGAGTAGTACCAAAAGTCCATTTATTTCACTAGTTTTATCAAGTGAAGCACTAATGCAGATTAATGGATGTTTGAAAGCCTTTATTTCTGTTGGTTATGATGATTTCCCACCTAAAGTTAATGAAAAAAATGACTGAAAACAAAAAAAATATAAGAAATGTAATAAAGGAATGTATTTCAAATGTAGCGTATGTATTAAACCAAGATGGTAAAAAAAATTTTAAAGATATTTTTAATCTGAGGAATCAGTCTAATCAGAACATTATTGAATATGACTGTCTTGACTTCAGTCATGCAGTGTTATTTCTAAATATATAACTATATAGCATAAATGATCTGATCACCGACTGAAGCAGACTCCCACTGATTTTCTGAAACGACTAAAAATCCTGCAATTTTCCCTTTTTGCACACTGACTTTTGAAATAGCACTGTTTATATCCACATGGAGAAACATCATCGCACATACACAACTGATGCTGCATACACCTGGCTTTGAGCCAGAGAGGAATTTACATCCCCCGTCTCTGGCTGGTCCAAGAAAACTCATTTATAACACAGATAGGAAATAATAGAAAACGTGCAGGTTTGCATTGCCCAAGTAAAATACATTTAGACTTATTTATTTTATTGTTGTTACTCAAAGACACAACTGCTCCTTCAGACTAGCCAGCAGCAATTAGCAAACACCAGGTGAAACTGGTGAGTTATTAAAGGAGACACTTCCCAGCCTTGATGTGATGACTTCCTGAAGCCGGAGTTGTTATAAAGAGGCCAGATTTAAAGGAGTCAAATTATGAACCCAAATTTCTTTCAAGTCACATTTGATGTGGCTTTTTTTTTTTATTTTTTATAAAAGCTGAACCCAACATGGTCACTTGATTTCTTGAAGGCGGAATCTCCTCCATTCCTACCAACCCTTTACCAGCGTAGTACCGAGAAGTAGCTCGAATAATAAGCTCAGCTGACGCACCGTTCCACCAGGTGTTTGACAACCTGTCGTCCTGAACAGACCGCAGGTTTATTATTGCGCAATAACACCTGATGCAGGCGTCACGTTTTACACAACTATCCGTGTGAGCGTGGAGACATATGCTCTTTAAATCTTTGTATTTTATTTACTTATTTATATATATATTTTTGGCATGTAATATTTGAGCCATTCGTTAGAAATGCAGTGAAAACTGTCGGGTCCGCGCTCTGTTTGCAGTGCGCGCTCCCGACACAGAAAGGACAATTTTCCACAGTGGGGAAAAAAAAAACCCCAAAAAACTCACATGACAAAAATTTCAAAATTAAAATGGGTTTGTGGGGCGTGTTTTTCGTAAATACTTTATTTTTGATGTGAAGATAGTCGAGCATTAAAAAATAATTACTCGGGCCATTATTTCAGGAACACTGCACTTTTTAAACCTCGGACAAAATTACTAGGCCAAGTTGTTGTTGTTTTATTATTATTATTATTATTATTATTATTATTATTATTATTATTATTATTATTATTATTTGTCAATGGTAACTTATCAATAAATTAAAAATACAATAAAAAAACAAAAGAACGAAAATTATACATTGTCTGTCTGTCACAAGAAGGTAATGGGAATGTCTGACAGTCTAATGTCTTCCCAGTCACACACTGCTGTTACTTTTTTTTCTCTTGTCAGTCTCTTGCTTAAGAACAAGCTTTCAATTCCCAAAGTAAGATTTTTTTTCTTTTGCTGACTCAAAATAGAAACAAAACAATAAAACAAAAGAAAAGGAGTAAAAGTATTCTAGTAACTCACTGCATCTTGAATCACATTAAATTGCTTTTAAGTTTTAAGCTTAACCAGTGAGGTAACTCCAGAGCAGAGCTCGCGTTAACTGAATTTATTTATTTATTTATTATTTTATTTATTTATTTTCTTAACGACAGGACAATTGTAAGCCTATCCGTCATTTGACAGGTTAGATTTGACATACTTGACTGGTGCGCCTGGGCAGACATTACAGACTTTATGCAAATAGTTAATTGCAACTAAAATCAATCCATAATAATAATAATAATAATAATAATAATAAAATCATCTCATGAACACTGAACGAAATGCGCCTTTCTGTCCGGGCGCTCTGGAGCGTCTGGTTCAGAAGCGCATTCCAAAACCTCTGGTTGAAATGACGCGTTTAATCAGAAAGAGAGTGCAACGTTGTGTTCATTCATTTGTAGTCTAAACAGAGCAGCCGGGAGTTTATCTTGCGGAAATAAATGAAGGCGCAGAAGACCGTAACATGCGCAGTGCGCTGTGGCTGCACAGCCAATCAAGCCGTCGCTGCAGAGAGAGAAACTGAACTCTTAATTCCTGCGGTTTCAGCAGGAACCTCCTTTGGTCACGTTACCCTCCCGCGCCCAGAAGGAGCGCGGCGCTCTGGAGGACGCATGTTTGCAACATCTGTCCGTTTCCGGGAGGCGAAACTACGCAAAAAAGATCATCGTAAATGCGCAACGTCCTGACCGCGCATAGGGGGGGAAAAAAGTCGCAGAGTTGAATTGACCGGTTTGGATCAGACAGATCCAACTGGCTGATGGACCAGCGCAGATTTCTATTGCACTACTTAATAGTAAACTGTTCCCTCTGAACTTGTGTTTTTTTTCCTTTTATTTTGTTTCTTGACTTCGATTGCAGTGATGTGTAGTCTCACCCAAATAAAGATTACAGCGGACCTTTAGATATTTTTTTACTGCATTAAATAAATACAATCACTTCTGTTTGTTCTATTTGTAATCTCTTTATAGTGTAAAAATAAGATGAATATAAGAACCTTGACCCTGCAAGTTTCCCTGCTGTGCAACAACCAAACTGCAGGGTCACCTCAAATACATTAAAAAAATGTCAAACCAAACAACAATAAAAGAGAAACAAGCAAATTCTAATCAATCTTTATTTTGTCTTTTTAAAAAACCTTGTTAAAAACCAAATGTACACTCACTGATGACTTTAAAATATATGTTCACCAATGCATTGGTCAAACCATGACCATTGGCTGTAGCAAGCCTGAGGTAGCTACGTAGCAAATAGCTCAGGCTAGCTATTACCTCAACCAAAAACAATTATGAAAAAAGAACAAATCAGAACTAACATAACAAAGCTACTTTTCTATTCTAGATTTCTAGATAAACATGAACAGCCTATTGCGGGGACCTGACTGATGTGAGGGAACTGCTGTCAGTTATGACATCATCGGAGTAGTTATAAACTAGATATGATTATCCAGTTTCTAGAGTGCTTCAAATAAATTAAAAAGAAAAAAATATATATACAATAAAATGTCATGACAAAGCAGAAAGCAGACTAGGATTAGCAATATGTGGCACACTACCACAAAAATGATTAAATAATACAAATATTTGTGTTAAACCAAAAAAATACA